CCTCTCGATGCAGGCGGGACTTCAGGGGAAATTTGCCTTAAGGAAATTCTTTCATTCATCGGTGACACTAATGGACATGAGTGAATAGTCATGAAACAACATGTTTTTGTGTGTGAACCGGATTAATAGCAGCTCACTGACGTTCACACTGAGCTACGGATGGATGTGTAAATTCAGCTGTGACTCCACACCCTCATTAACCTCGGGGGAAACATGCAGTTCACGAGAGGTCGTGGACTCGTTCCCCATTACAGCTTTGTTTACATATTTTACACAAGTTCCGTGTGTGTCAACAGCGTTTATCTGGATCCCTCCCATCCCTTTGTTTTTAATCCATATTAGGTTGTGACTCATAAAACCATTAATACAGGACCGGTCTGTCAAGCTTAAGGTCGAAGCTCTGTAGTTTACCAGGTCTCCTGTTTACTGCAAAGTCCTAATTTATAAACTAAGTAGAGCAGTGAACTGGAGCCGGAGTGAGGATTTTTAAAAAATCCAGTTGAATTGTAGTGAAATATAAATAGAAAAGTATGAAAGTAAAATGTAGCAGTTGTCAATTTGTCAAACAAAAAGAAAAAAGCTGATTTTCAGCTTCTTCTTTTATAGATGGACATTTGTTATGTTATATTTACATGTCATAAGGACAGTTTTCCAATTTCATTGTACTACTGTACTATGTATGACTGTGCAATGACAATAAAGAGTTATCTTATCTATCTTATCTTATCTTAAATTGCCGTCGTTGGTAAACTTTAATGAAGACGAAAAGGAGCATGTGCAGTAGTTATAATAATGTAGGTTGCAGGATGTGGTGCATTTGAAGTGCACGTTTCTGTCAGTGGAAAGTCACGAAGCTAAAGCCAAGCACAGACGCTAGCTAGCTGTCAGGGCTCTGCAGTTTGTCCGATAGTAACCCGCCGCCCCCCTAGAGCCTGCATATCTGCGACGTGTACGCTCGAGGGTGGAGGAGGGAGGGGCAGATGAGCTCGTGCGCTCACTGCAACTTCCGCCCCCTCTGTGTCCATGTACCCTGCGTAGCCTTGTATGGAAACCAGGTCCTGTGGTGTGAGCAATTTGAACCAATCAGAATGGCGGTGCTGTGAGGGGGGCGGTGCGACCGGGGGAAACCGACAGGCCCCACCCTGAGTGGATTTCTTTTTTTTTTCCAGGGTGGGTGGGACCCACGGAGCCGGCTGTGTGTTTGAAAATGAATGATCTGCTGCTTGAGTAGACAGTGACCGGTCGGTGCGTGTTTAGCGGCAAACAGAAGCCACGGCGTTAACGGAAAACACGAAGAAAAAACGGAAGATTAAAGAAAAATCTAGTCACGAAGAAACAGACAACCAAACCGGAATAAGAATCAGCTTCCAGCAATGCAGTGTAAGTATTTGAGCCCCGTGTGGAGCTTTTCTGGTTTTGTTTTAAGCTCGGTTTCACGTCGACACATCAGGTTTGGCCAGAAACCGGTTGGTGACGATTTTTCCGTTAATTAAACCGCCTGCGCGTGTGCGTGTTGCATTTAAAGGCCTTAGCTTGGGCTCTGAATTACGATGTTTCGCCTTCAGATCTACAATTTCCTGGTTTATAATTTGAGTTCTTTATATCTCGGTTCAGTGAAGCTTGCTTTAGACGTTAATAGGATAATACACAATAATAAATGTGTTACAGAAAAAAAAAGGTCTTAAGTTTACGGCTTGGGTGTGTCTAGACAACCTGCCCAGACCTGGTCTCTTCCTAAAAGGGTGTAACCCACCCAGCAGATCATCTGTATTTCTCTCTGTAATTTGGCTCACGTTTAAAATAGCCATTAAAAAAAGTCTGCTTAGCATGCAAATAGATTAAGTTGGAAAAAATGTACCCAGTGTACCGTGGGGTTTCTGAGGATGACGCCCAGTGCGCGCTGCGTGGAAGGAGCAGCTGGATGGAAGCAGGAGGAGGAGATCATTCACTGATTTTTGGGAATTCACTGTATCTCACTTTCGTTTAGAGCAGCAGCACTGTGGCTTTAGGTGAAGTGAGCTGGCTGTTGCTCTGGACAAACAGAAATGGAGCTCGAGTGAAGAAAAATGAAAATTTAGGGGGGAGGGAGGGGG